CACCTATCGGGAGTAGACTTAGGAGCATCGTGTGTTGTTTGGTGTTCTTCACCTGCTTCGTTCCCGCTGTGTGTTGGCGAAGATATGTAGGTGCAGGTGGTAGTTTTCTCCTTCTGCCAGTTGCGGCTGCCGCTGCTCCGACGGTCCGATTCCTCGTTGCGACTAGTAGAGCTGCAACTCCACCCCCCCCCCCCCGCCTCTTACTCCTACTCGCAGTAGTGGTGGTGCTTGTTTTGGTGGTGGTGGTCGTGGTGGTACCAGTGCTGCTATTACTACCACTCCTACTATATACGACGACGACTACAACTGAACAGCATCTGCGTGAGTGGTTGTTCAGAGCAGTCTGTGTCCCGGGTAAATCTTCCTTATAGGTCAAGCTGAAATTTCATTTCATCAAACTAGAAGTGGCAATCCCAGCAAATGATATCCAGCTCCCTGGTTCATTGGTGCACCTATGTTTTCTCATCTAAGATCCTAACAAAGCATGACAGCAACAAGACGAGCTACTGCTCTGCAGCCGTGACCCTGCCCTGAATTCTCAACCCCATAAGCCCAAGGCCCCAACGGCCCCAGATCCCAATTTCCCTAAAGACACTAAACCCCCTAAGCCTTAAATCGTAAACCTTAAACCCTAACCCCGTAAGTAAGCCCTGAAACTCGAACGCCCTAAACCCCTAAACCCAGCAACCCTAAATCTTAAACCTTGAACCCTAAACCCATAAGGCCTGAAACCCCAAACGCCCAACACCCAAGGAGATGGAATTGCTGGTGGAATCGCTCAGCGATTCCGATGCCAAGCATGGGACCTGTCTCTTTCTGCCTAGGTCTCTGAGCAGTACCTGTATGGGGCTCAAAAGGGGATCCTTAACGGGCTCTATAAGCGATCGAAAGGGGTTTAGAGTCTACTAGGTTCCTGAGCAGTACCCTGTTGCCCTTTTTGTTTCAGGGCTCAGCACCCTAGCTGCCCAGACGTCCATGCGTGGGACAGGGTTTTAGGCTTCCGGGTTAAGGTTTTCGGCCCAGTTACCGACATCATGGGACAAATGATATTCTGACGTGAACCCTAAACCCTAAACCTAAACCCTAAACCCTAAACCCAGAGCGTTTCTGTTGATGAGGCCAAAAGATCGGTATCGAGACCTAATGAGATACAGAAGAGGGTTTACGGATACATTGCTGCTGATACCTGGCTGTAACCAAGAATTCAGACAGAAAGCCCCTAAGCTTCTGTGTAACCCAGAGGGTCCATATACACTACGATTATGGAACTAGGCCCAAAAAGGCCATGCCCATTATGGTTTGGGTGACCTGATTCCATAATAGTAGTGTATATGGACCCTCTGGGTAAGGGGGCCTGAATGTGCCTTTGAGTTTACCGCAGGGCTGATGCTTCGTGAACCTGGGGTTCGGCCTTTGTGGGTGTAGTGATCGTTAGAAATATACAGGGACGAGGAAGGAAAGCCAACAAGCAGGTCAGACCCCCAAATCCTTGAAAATTTCATAAACGGCTCTTTGGCAACTTCATGTCTTTGTCTGCAGGTGACATGGTTCACGTTGTGTAAACAACATCCGCTTCAAGAGGTAGTGTTTGGGGGTTCAGAACCCGTATATAACCCTTATTACCCGTGTAACCCTCAGAACCCTTATATAACCCTTATTACCCTTATAACCCTCATAACCCTTGTATCTTCATTTCCCTCATAACCCTCACAACCCTTATATAACCCTTATTACCCTTATAACCCTCATAACCCTTATACCTTCATTACCCTTATAACCCTCACAACCCTAATATAACCCTTATAACCCTCATAAGCTTCTTAACCCTTATATGACCCTTATTAGCCCCCTAAACCCTAAACCCTAAACCCTTATAACCCTCATAACCCTTCTCACCCCCCCGAGGCTCCAGAAGAAAGCCATGCACGCTTACCTTTCCTGGCTGACGGCACCGAACCGCAGCGGCCTCGGTGGTGGAAAACTGATATGTTATACTGAAGCTATAATAAGGAACCCCCCCCCCCCAATATTATATTATAGCTATTAAAGCTATAATAAGGAACCCCCCCCCCACACACACACACACCCAACAACCCTATTCTAAATTTGCAAGGCCCCTAAACCCCAAACCCCGTATAGAACCCTCACAAGGATTCTGAACACATGGATGTTTGGAGTGCAGGATGCGATGTCTCGAGTTTATGTGGGTGGGATTTGGGTCTTGGGATTGAATTGATTGTGGTGGCGTGCCGGATTTTTTCGTTGTCATTTTGGCAGGAGTAGAGCGAGCCGTTGAGGAAGTGCAGCAGCTGTGAGGAAAACATTTCGGCCGTGTGGCCTGCCAAGTTTCCATCCGTACCAGTAAGAAGAGCCCATGCTGGGAAGGCGAGCGCAGTTTCTGCGAACGTACGATCGGCCACAAGCGCACGGCGACCGGCGTTTCCCGCAGGAGGGCTCAGTGATTCTACTTGAACTCGGCGGTTTCTACCTGACATTCGCATGGCTCGAGTGAGGTTAAGCTCCAGAAGAAGCTCAGCCCCAGACCATATCGAGCTCATTCTGCATCGCTGGCCGGGTGGGATATTTGTCGAGCCTCGAGCTTTCCAGATTATTGAGTGCGAGTTAATCAAGCCCGAATGATCAGTCAGGTAGCGATGGCAAGGACGGACGCCTCTACGTTAAACACGAAGCAGACCCTAAACTCCTGCACCCTAAACCGTTCGTTTACAACACCTTTGTTTGTTCCCACAAGAGCAAAGGATCGTAAGTATTTTCTTTTATCTCAAATCAAAAGAGTAGTTCCTACTCTAGACGCCCTACCTCGTACTAGTCACCTTCAAAAGCAACGTCCATCCCAAACCTAAACCTGAACCTAAGCCCAGATGTAGTTCGAACGGAAAGTAGGGTGTAGTCGCACCAGCTGGATAATCCCAGCTACAGCGAGGACAACCCTCACTGCAAACCCTAAACCCTAAACATTAAACCCTAAAGCCCTAAACCCCTAAACTAACCCCTAAACCCTAAACCGTTAAGCCCTTGGATCTCAAATTCGTCCCTACACCCTAAAGCTCCAACCCCGTGAGTCCGACACCTGTGTCCTAGGTAGTATCCTCAAAGGGTTCAAGTACCATTATAGTAGGTACTTAGTACCCTGAAGTATATACAATATGGTTACTTGGATCTTCTGGTACTAAGGAGAGTACCATTATAGTAGGTACTTCGTACCCTAAAGTATACACTCTATGGTTACTTGGACCCTCTGGGATTAAGGAGACCCCTTACAGGGGACCCTTCCGAACCCTACTTGTGGATGTTTTATCAGGGACCTTATTGAGAGGGTCTATATCCCAAAGGGTTCCACTGACCCTAACTCAATGTATCCAACACCCCGCATGCAGTTACAGAGCATTCCTAGAGATTGAACCGGGGATCCTAAACCAAGGCAACCACGGACCCCAGTGTTAAGGAATATAGGGGGTACTTAGAAATAAGGTTATTATAATCCTTAAGAGACAGCTAAAATTATAATTCTTGGTAGGGCTTTAAGTTCAGTATAGATATAGGGGGTAATGAAGTCTGACTTAAGCAGAAACCGCATGCGACAGACTGGCCAAGGATTGACCAAGGTGGACATCTCCCAGGCCGATTTCACGCGCTTGCGCGGACAAAAAGGGTGGTTGTCCAAATTATGGTCCCTTTTCGGGTCCCTGTTACGGCACCTATTATCATTATTTTTTCATTATTTAGGGTACCCAAAAAGGGACCTTAAAATTGGACAACTACGCATAAACACGCCAAACCCTTCAGACGCCCAACGCGAGCTCTTCAGACCTATCTTCGGATCCCTGCTCTTAGTCGTAAGGCCCTTGTTCCCAACGACGGCCGCAGAGCTAGGTAGATCCTGTAGGAAGATATCTGGGTGGTTGTCAAAATTGTGGTCCCTTTTTGGGTACCTTAAATTTTAGGTGCCGTATTATAACAAGGACCCAAAAGGGACACTCATTTTGAGAAACAACCCATCTGATGTTTACGGGTCGAGCTTTTGGGGTTTGGGAATATTTAAAAACTCATTAGGGTTTAGGGTTCAGGGTTTAGGGTTTAGGGTTCAGGGTTTAGGGTTTAGGGTTTAGGGTAGATTAAGGCACACAGCTGTTGGGGTTTGAGGTTTATCAACTAAGAGCCCAAACCGTAAACCCCCTAACCCAGACCCTAGACCCAGAGACCCGATACCTCAAGCCCTGCAGCCCCCACCCCTCGAGCCTCAGAGTATTGAGCCGCAAGTTTAATCTGCTGCAGCCCTCCGAAGACCCGATGTAAAAGTCGAGCATGGTGCAGGCATGCCCAGACTCCTATATCCCTTAGTTCAGGAATATTCCTTAAATCATATTAGAGATCCTACTATCATTTAAGGAATAATCCTTAATTAAGGGATATTGGAGTCTCTGGGTGTAAGACGTGCGCAGGCCCTGATGGGCGAGTTGCCGTGGCTTAGTGGGAAGAGCCGACCGGACTTGTGGCATGCTGCGGCGATGATGTCTTCGTTGCGGTTGAAGGGCGCTGGGCTAATAGGACCTTAATAATTAGAAAAGGGTTTTGGGGCCACTATACTATTGGTATAAGAAGGAACCACCCAAAAAGTATAGGCAGTTATTAAGGCCCCAATATTATCTCAAGGAGACGATCAAACTTGAGCTCCTTTGCCAGTCACCGGTTACAGAGATGCCCGTTTCGCTCCGCGGGGGTCCCGAGGCATGGGGTGCAGACTAGCCTGCGACTTAGAGCAAGCAGTGGCATGGAGGTGTGGAAGGCAACCATTGATTTCGCTAAGCGCGACGGAAGCCGAGCTGATTGATGCGATAAATGCAGTGCAGATGATGCAAGGGTTGGCGGTGATCACCCAGCTACAACAGCAGGCGCCGACCTTGCAGCCCAAAGTCGATAAGATCACCCAGCTACAACAGCAGGCAGCAGGAACCGACCTTGCAGCTCAAAGTCGATAGCTCGGCAGCGGTAGGACTCTGCAATGAGTCCACACCTATAGTCTCCATTGTAGTTCCTTTTCTTCCTTTACAGTTTTACGGTTAGGACCCTATAATAGAGACTTTGGTTAACCCAAGAAATGGAACTACAATGGAGACTACAGGCAGGGTCTTGGAAAACCAGACATCTGAAGGTCCGGGCCTAACATCTCAGAGAGGCCGTGAGGCTGAAGCAGTTGTCCATCATCCATGTGGGTAGAGACTCCTATATCCTTAATTAAGGAATATACCTTGAATCATCGTAGGATCCCTTATATGATTTAAGGTAGATGCCTTAATTAAGGGATATTGGAGTCTGTGGGTGCCTGGAGTCAGCTCGGAGACCTTGGGACGAAGGCCTTTCATCCGCCGAAGCTCCAGGAGTTGCTTCGCTTCTGGGGTTTGGGATCGCCTACATCTGGGAGTTTCCGAAAATAAGGGATCCTAATGTAGTACCCTAAGTAGTAGGATCCTTATTCATACGGACCCCAAAATAAGGTACCCCCCTAATTTTCGGAAACTCCCATCTGAGGTTGTGGGCGAGCAGGGAGACGCGTGGAGGAACTTCGATAGCCAAGGTCAATGGCACTCAAGGTTTTCAGGATTCACCTCAGTTGTGGCGCATGTTCTGGATGACCTGAGTACGGTTTAGACCTGATCAAACGGACCCGTTTGATCAGGAAACATTATTGTAGGAACCTGATTAAGAAAGCCTGGGCCTATACCCCCCAGCTGTAAGATTCATACCAGGAACCCTGGCAAAGGCCCAAGGTTTCTTAATCAGGTTCCTACATTAGGCAGCGCAAGTTGCAGCACGGGTGGTTCTCTCGATCAGGTCCCTTGCTGGATCTCCCAAAATACTGCGGCATCCTTATTAAAAGCACCCTGAATGTCCTAAACCCTAAAACCCTAAAGCCCTCAAACCGTAAACCCTCAAACCCTAAATCCCACAACCCGAAAACCCTAAAGCCCTAAACCCGTTGAAACCCTAAAGACGTTTTTTGCATGCACCGTTCTAAGAACCAGATATTATAGAACGCTATTATAGATCCCTTATAGACCCCCGTAAGGATCCCTCTAAAGGAGCCCTATTCCCCCGTTCCCCACTAAGACCCAGAGAGTTATGCAGGCCGGGCCGGTCAAGACAGCGGTTTGGACACAGTTCTTCCCGGTGAACGCCGACCAGGTGCTCGGTGAGATGAGATTTCTTTAAGGGTTCCTTTAAGGGATCGGGTTCCTTCAAGGGTTCCTTTAAGGGATCGGGTTCGTTTAAGGGTTCCTTTAAGGGTGCCATAGTTCAGGGGTTGGGCGTTTATGGGTAGTTATACTAAGGGTTTCGGTCCCAACGGCTCTATGTACCCATATAGTAGGTACTTCGGCCTTAGAGTAGGATCCAAAAAGTAGTAGTTTTGGGTCCCGAAACAGGGGATCTACTTTCTAGATCCTCCCGGGGGTCTGGGTATAGGGACCCCTTGAAGGCCGAAGTACCTACGATATGGGCACATGGAGTCGTAGGGGGTCAGATGAGGTTTCCTTGCGGTTTCAACTAGGGGATCTATACGGGTGCTCTGAGTAGCTGAGTGGATACACTTTACACTTTTTGGGAATATATTACCCACTATAAAACTAAAATTGTGTACAGTGTACACTTTTTGGGGTTTATGAACTCAGCAACGAAGTGCTAGAACAGGGTTGTAGGGTTTGGGGTTTATCGGGCATTTGGGTTTGGGCTTCAACTTTTCGGGCTTATAAATATAGGGTTTAGGTTTGGGGCCTTTTGAGGTTATAGGGTTTAGGGCGTTGGGTCTTCAGGCTTTAGGGTTTAAGGCTGGGGCTTTAGGTTTATGGTTTGAGATACGCCTGACTAGTGTTGAAGCCTAAGTTACGCGCGTTTATCGGGGTTTTCGACGACAGGGTTTGCGAATCCCTAGACACTGATAAGCCTTATAAATCCTAATTAGCACCAAAGACCCTATAACTCGTAAACCCTACCTAAACCTTGAATAACCTACCTTTTTTCGGGTTCCTTATTATGATTTCCCTATACATTTCCTCAAAAAGGTAGGTTATTCCGGGTTAAGGTACACCTTAAACCTCCGAAAAGTGTTTTGGCTTTGGCACTCGGTCTTGGTTTGGGGTGCAGCGCTCAGCTGGCGGGGCTTGTGGCGTTGTGGCGTAGGCTTTTGGGGTTTAGGGTTTAATTAGGGTTTAGGGGTTTAGGGTTTAGGACGTTTAGGCGGGGTCCAGAAGTCGGCCAGGAAGGGTAAGTAGACTGCAGCACATCAATACTTGTGGCTTACAAACCTCGTTCAGGTACCTGCGTACATATGTACTACACTACACCCCATAAAGTTGGAAACCGGATTAAGGCCAAATAGTGCTGGGATTCCCCATACATTACTCTTCAGGACTGAGGCTATTGGGTTTCCAACTTTTCGGCTTCTGCTGTTAGTCGCATGCGTGAGTCTTTTGATCGGGTCGGGGTCGTCATGGTTTCTTTACAAGCCTCCTCCTTCGCAGATTGTGATGCCCTAAGGGTACCAGGTACCGCTATGAGGGATACTTCGCCAACTCATAATGTATAGTAGTTGCTAATAAAGAAACCCTACATTCTACCATAGAGGTACTTATAGGACCCTTACACCCTAAACCCCTATACTTCCCTTATAGAAGGTCCGGTCGACCTTATAGAAACCCTGCAGTGATCCGTGAAAGGAGGTACTTAGAATCCTTTGGGACAAGGATGTTCCTCCGGAACTTCTTTGTAGCCTGCACGAGGAGCCGGACCATGGAAATCAGGCACCTCCAAATTCAACAACCTTTTGATTCTTGATTGAAAGTAGCGTAGTACAGTAAAGTGTAGTGTCGCATTACAGTAAAGTAATAGTAGAGTAGAGTTGAATAAAGTATAGTATAGTTTTGTATAGTGCCTTAAAGCACCCTTCAGTTCATCTCCCCATATTTCGCTTATTGGGCTTAAGGAGATCTTATTTACGAACATATCCAGAAGCTGCAAAAGGCTTTCCTGGTTCTGCTCGTGTTGCTCTCGTAGCTGAGTAGGTCTTCTTCACTCTTTCAGGGCCTCACGGTCTCAGGATATCAGATAACCACTCTGCGGGAGCTTTGGGTTGAAGTATCACTGCCACGACTGACATGTTTTCTGGGTTGAATGAACTTAGCAACTCGGTTTGCCTCCGGCAGAAACGGTTGTGGGATTTGCGGGGTCTGTAGTCTGTAGTTTATGTTTCCCCTATTTGTCTGGGGTGCTTGCCCTAAACTCTGAACTCTGTACCCACAGCCCTAAACCCTACGTCTTAAACCCTGGGCTTCTCATAGTAGCGCTACAGGGGAGCGCCGCCAACGCCATGGCCGGTTGCATGCGTCCGAAGGCAGCATGAACCAGATCTTGAGCATCCCGCAGCCGCCAGAGGCCGGCCCAGACAGGACCCTGAGCGTTCATTGCCTGGCAGGGTCCAGTTTTGGGCTGGACGTCAACTCTGCCGAAACAGGGCGGCAAGTAGCAGAACGCATCGCAGGCGAAGTTGGCCACCCTGCAGGTTTACTTGTGCTGACATCCGGTGGCTGTGTCATCGATCAGTGCCAGTTGCTGCTGCGTCAAGTCCAGCGCGACGAGATCTGGTACGTGGTGCGCAGGCTTGGCGCGGGACGTGTCGCGATGCTGTGGGAGCGCTTACTCGAGGCGAAGACTCTGTGTGATGTAGATGTAACTGCTCTGAACGAGACGATGTCACTCACGTGGTATTCCAGCCAAGAGCTCAACCAGGGCATCCAACTTCCCAACAGCCTGCAGAGCTTGACGTTTGGCTCCCAGGTCAACCAGAGCTTGGAAGGCATCCAACTACCTAGCAGCCTGCAGAGTTTGAAGTTTGGTGGCCGTTTCGACCAGAGGTTGCATGGCATCCAATTACCCAGCAGGCTACAGAGCTTGACGTTTGGCAATGAGTTCAACCAGAGCTTGGATGGCATCCAATTACCCAGCAGGCTACAGAGCTTGACGTTTGGCGATGAGTTCAACCAGAGATTGGATGGCATCCAACTACCCAGCAGCCTACAGAGCTTGACGTTTGGCGGCGAGTTCAACCAGAGCTTGGAGGGCGTCCAACTACCCAGCAGCCTACAGAGCTTGACGTTTGGCGACGAGTTCAACCAGAGCTTGGAAGGCATCCAACTACCCAGCAGCCTACAGAGCTTGACGTTTGGCTGCCAGTTCAACCAGAGCTTGGAGGGCATCCAACTACCCAGCAGCTTGCAGAACTTGACGTTTGGCTTCGAGTTCAACCAGAGCTTGGAAGGCATCCATCTACCTAGCAGCCTGCAGACTTTGACATTTGGCGATGAGTTCAACCAGAGCTTGGATGGCATTCAATTACCCAGCAGCCTGCAGAGCTTGACGTTTGGTGGCCATTGCAGCCAGAGTTTGGATGACATCCAACTACCCAGCAGCCTGCAGAGTTTGACGTTTAGCCCCCAGTTCAACCAGAGCTTGGAAGGCATCCGAGTACCCAGCAGCCTGCAGAGCTTGACCTTTGGCGATGAGTTCAACAAGAGCTTGGATGGCATCCAACTACCCAGCAGCCTGCAGAGTTTGACGTTTGGCTTCGAGTTCAACCAGAGCTTGGATGGCATCCAATTTCCCAGCAGCCTGCAGAGTTTGACGTTTGGCTCCGAGTTCAACCAGAGCTTGGATGGCATCCAATTTCCCAGCAGCCTGCAGAGTTTGACGTTTGGCTTCGAGTTCAACCAGAGCTTGGATGGCATCCAATTTCCCAGCAGCCTACAGAGCTTGACGTTTGGCCACTATTTCAACCAGAGCTTGCATGGCATCCAATTACCCAGCAGGCTACAGAGCTTGACGTTTGGCAATGAGTTCAACCAGAGCTTGGATGGCATCCAATTACCCAGCAGGCTACAGAGCTTGACGTTTGGCGATGAGTTCAACCAGAGCTTGGATGGCATCCAAC